TCCTCCAAACAGAAGCAAAATGCCCGCTTTCATCCGCGGGGGTCGGTGCCGGTAGCTTTGCGAGCGCGCGGAGCGGGAGCCCCTCCTGCACGCAGGGCGCGAGCGCGGAGCCAGCCGCCCCGCTCCTGCTCTATGGGAAGTTTTGGGGGGGCTGCACGGGAGCAGCAGCCGGAGCAGGTACGTGGCCGGAGTTTTGCAAGAACTTCTTTGTTTTAATGGGCTGTGCGCAGAGGGGTTGGTTGCTTTTTGGGGGGGTTTTTTGGCACTTTCTTTCCATTTCCGACCTCTCTCTCTTTCCCTCCCCCCCTTTAAGTTAGAAGGTAGGGGAGAGGCTTTCCTAGATCTCAGTAAAAATGGCTGTCAAACAGCCCTTAAGTTACAAAAACCAATGGTTCTCCAAGAAAGTCTTTTCCTCTTTTTTTTTGTTTTGTTTTGTGTCCCCCCGCTCCCCTTTCTTCTTCCTCCCTCTCTCTTTGCAGTGCCTGCCCGGCTGCTCTGAGAAAGGATTTTGAGGCTTAATGTCCCGCCGTTGAACTGCAGCTTTGCAAGCAGCAGCTGCTTTTACATTCCCCCCCCCACCCCCCAAAAAAGAAGCTGCTTGTTATTTTCATGCCTGTTTCATGGGGTTGGAAGTTTGGGGCGGTAGGAAACGCATCTGTCACATCTGGAGGAGTGGAAGGGCTAGGCGGGATTGTTGGGGAGGACAGGGAGGTTTGACTAGTGGGGCTGGCAGGATTTTGGATTCCTCTGTGGCAGCTCCAGAGGAGGGGTGGGAGCAGGGAAGGCAAAGGGGAAGGTGGCTGGCTTAGGGCAGAGGAAAAGTGAAAGTTCTGCCTTCTCTTTTTATGATCTTTGTTGTTGTTGCTGCCGCTGCCACTGCCTGGGGAACTTCATCAACTTGGGACGCTGCCTAAACCAAGCTGCTGGGACCTGGGTCTCTGGGCAACTTTCCCCCACAAAACCCCCTCTCCCTCCATCTCTTCTCACCCTTTCTTGCAGTGCGCGGAGAAAAATATTGCAGGGTCAGGATTGGGTATGAATCACTCCAGACAGTTACTTTCTCCGCCTGGGGTGAGTAGTGTGGGAGAAGCGGAGGGATATTTCATCTGTTGATACCCAGCAAAGTGATGTGGTTGAGGACCTCTGCAGCTTTCCACATCTCATTCCTTCAAAGGGTTTCAGGAGAGTGGATGCTGTTGTTTTAACTGGCCTGGGAACTTGGGGTGTTTACAGACATGCACACACACATGCGCTGATAAAGTTGCAGCTTCCAACTCCTGACACCACGTGAAAAGGAAAGGTAAAAGGAAACCTCCTCTACCCCCTGATTTTTAATTTTATGCCTCTGGTGTATAGTTTTGATTCGGTCCTTTGGGTACCATGTTTGTGGCCTTCTGCCAGTTTATATGTAGATATATTTATGTAAAACATTTTCTCTCAGCTCTTTGCCAGCTGTTCCATATTTTCCAGCTGCCACTTCAGTTTGAAATGATGGACTGTACGGATCTCAAAGTAAAAGAGCCTTTTTAGTCAAAGGTATGGATGGCTGTCCACTTGCTATATGATGTTTAGAGTCTCATTAACCAAACCAGCCAGCAATACACACTACAGCCCTCACTGCCCCTTCTGCCCCACTCCCACCCTCCTCGCCTTTCAGGCCTGCACTCTACACCCCACACCCCCTCCCATTTTATTTCCAAGGTTTAATAAAGCATGTATTTATTTTAAGGTTCAACATGCACATTTAATTTGTTCTATGTTGTTCTCAAAAGAACTCAAATGTAAAGTGTCACAGAACCTTTGAAATTTGTGACTAATTAAATTAACAAACATTTTAGGAGGGTGCCAGTCCCTCTGTCTGTCTATCTGTATACATGATATATGTATCTAGATGGAAATCACTGAAGTCCATTTAAAACTGAGAAATCACTAAGTTTTCCTGCATTGTGCAACTGTTTTTGGTTTTTGGCATTATAAATTGAAATCCACAAGAATGGGCCTGAGTATTTTTGAGTATTTGTGCAGTTGCATTGTAATTTGGAAAGGTGCCTCACTGATTGATTTCTATAATTATTTCATTTGGGTCCTTTATTAAAAATTAATAATGATCTGACAGTTTCCTAATTACATATGTCAAGATTATTTTGATGGAAGAAAGATGCTATTTTTTTTTAAGTAAAGCAACCTTAAAATGTAAAAAAAATAATTTCTGAACACACGACAATATTTCAGTTGAAGGATTAAAGGTAGTAGTCAGTGAATATAACAATATAGACTGTACAAAGTCTCCAGAGAATTAGTTTATGTAATGAAATTTTGGGTTTTAACTAGCAAGTACATAAATACTTATAGTTTGTTAATCTGCAGTCAAATTTAAAGCATAAATAACGTTACTCTGTGAGAGAGAGCTACTCTTAAGGGGAAGGTAATTTCTTTTACTCTAAGCACTGTATGGTTTAGGAATCCCACAAATGAGAAAAGGACATTTTTAGTGTACACAGTTCTTTTTTATTTTAAAAAAGAAGTAAAGGAAGTAAAACTATGGTTTAAGGTATCTGAATCAATGCATTATTGCACTCACATGATTGCACATGGCTTTCAGTATGACCTCCTGTTTTCCAAAGCATTATTCTGCACAAGTAGCGTAAAACAAAGACATCACCTGTAGTTTCCTTACTAAGTAGAATAATGTTTCATGCCTAAGACATACACATTAGATAGCACATTTATCAACGCTCCTTTAAGTTGTATCTGAAGGTATGCATTTATAATTTGAAATAAAAATGAGGCATTCTGTAGCTAGGTTGTAAAGGTCATATTTTTTTTTAATCTTGGGATTTATGTGGTACATAAGCTGATATAATACGGCTCTTTCCATTAAGCTATTAGAAGACTTTAGTTCTTTTTGTAAGCTACTTAATCAAAATATTTTAAATCATCCATTTGAATCCAGCCCAGAAAAGTTTGAATGGTGTATGTCTGGCTTATTTTTGGCCAAACTATTTTATTACCTGCACTCAGCAGCAGGTTTGATCTTAGCTCTGAATTCAAGTAAGGAGTGGATATTTTTTTTTCAGTGCTCTTACAAAGTTAGCCGTCTTTGCTTGATTAATAAGGTATATGATGCTTATTAAAGCAGGATCCATTTGGAGGGGGGGAGAAGGGGGTTATGAAAGGAAACAGTTTAATGATCATTGTTGCTTGCACTCAAGTATATGGAGACAGTAATGTACCAAGAAAAAGCAGACTTGAAGGAAAAGTGAATCAATGAGTCATGAAATCCTCAGGAAAACCTTAGTAATGGAATGTTAATGCTTTTAGGCTATAGTAGATTATCTTAAAAGTCAGACTTTTTTTCTTTATGCAATTGTTGTAAATCCCTAGCTAAAGAATACTTTGAAGAAGGCTTTAGTTTTGCTGGCACTTAGATTCTGTAGTCAGTCTGATTGTTTTGGAAAATTCAAGAAAATTTTTGCCAACTTGCAGCTAGGCAATTAAAATACTAAAATGGCTATAGAAGATTTTTAGTCAACAAAAGGTTCCGCTTGAATAATAATTTCAAGTTGTCTTTTTCACCATAGGTTTTATAGACACCCCTCATTAGACTTTGTCATTTTTATATGGGAATTGATTTGTTATATTTTAAATCACATAATATGAGACAGAAAAGACAAAAATAGGGCATGGGTGCTGCTCCAAACTTTTCAAGTACTTTCAGTGTATTTTTCATCTTTACTTTTATTTGATAGGTCTGTGAAATAGAGCTGTAGACTGGCAAAGACTTTAAATGAAATTTCACACTTTGATGATTTTTTTTAACTTTGATATATTGACAGCAAAAGGAGCTGCAAAGCTTTTATATAACTTGAGCAGTAACGCCAAGCAGCAGTCAAACGTCTCTATGCATTTGTGTTTAACTGCAGAAGAAAAACATGTCCATGGGCAGTAGAGGTTCTTATCAACTCCCTAATCCCAGATCCCAGCAAACCTTGAGGGCATGCCTCAGATCTTGCTGAAATCATTGTAGACTCTCACAGTTTGCAGATTAAATATGCTATGTGTTCCTGGCTCCAACAACAGTTTTATGAGCTCACTAAGCTTCCTGTTTTAAGATCCCTTTCTGAAGTTTTTAGGAGCTGCTAAAGGCAATGCTGTCTGGAGCAAGTGGTACTTGTTAATTTAGAGACACTTTAGATATTTCATTCTGTCTGTAAAAACAGCCAAAATTGTTATTTTTCAAATTGGAAGTTGAGTTGCACTGAAAAGCTCCTTTAAAGAGTGATGCTGTTGTTTTTAATATGATTATAAATACACAAAGTTGCAAAGTTTATATGAAACATAATTTGTTTTATGATGGCTTGATTCTGACTAGGGGATTTAAAATAAGACTTTTTCAGCTGTAATTCCAAGCACAACATATCTTTTAGTTCCTAATTTCTGAGCTTCTTGTAACTGTTTCCTAGGTTGCTGAAAACCATGCCTTGTAAGGTGTTTTTTCCCCTTCCCCTAACAATATCAACAAAAATAAAATGTTTTCTGCAAAGGATGAATTGCAATCATTCAAATAGTTAATACTGGGGATGGTTGGCTGTCAGGAAGATACAATATTATACTTTAAATTCTGTGCTTTAACTACCCTCTAGCTGGTGAATACTTAACTCCTATATTTTATTCACTGTAATCATGTTTACGTATTTGGCGTAATAATCTTAATTAAAAAGGAAAATACTTATATCATTATCCAACAACATGTGTCATGTTATTCCCAAGAGAACTTCAGCCAATTTTGTGCTTAAAGGTTATTCAGTGAATGAAATTGTGAAAGCCCATTTGTCAAGGTACTGCATGGTTTCTGTTAGTTTTCAACCCCCAAATTCATTGTCTGCATGGCCCAGTCATTAGTCATCAGTGTATTAGTGCTGCCTTCAGGCAATGCTGCCCAGCACTTCTTCACACCATTATAGCTCTAAAAGTGTACTCTGCCGACTTGTAGAATTACTGCTCTGATTTCCGCTTGGCTAGGTTTGAGGTAAGTCCCCTCCCTACCTTCTAGCTCACTCTAATCCCTGCTTTCTTTTAAGGCTGCTTTCTGCAGAGATTTACAGGAAAACTTTCTTAGAGACTGTCTTGGCATCATACTGTGGTTTTGTGGTGGCATGCAGTGTACATATAAATTGTACTTGCATTAAATTGAAAGTGCACTAAGTTAGTTGCTCATCTAAAGAGTTGGTGAGTCTCTCTTTAACACAAAAAGGAAAAACCAATCAGTTCATTTTTGCAGATGCCTAATACGTTATTTTCACTAGAAATAAGAAACTAACTAACTGGGGTAGAGTATCTCTTTTTACTTTTGACTAAAGGTTCCTGGGTGTCAAAATAATACATTCATAGCATATGATTAGAGATTTCATTTAATGATTGTAATAGTTGAAATATCCACTGGAGTTTTAGTCATTTTGTTTTAGTAGACATGTATTGGTTACCAAAAATGCTTCTTATCTTAATTGTGTCCAAAACACTGTTGTTATTTTAAGGTTCACTACCTGCTACTTAGATTAGGGTTGAAGGATCAAATTACCCTTGTGATCAATTAGAACAAAATATGTTTGGATTCTTTGGTTCAGAACCATGTTTTCTGTTTTTGTTTTTTGTTTTTATATATATATATATATATAAAAACAAATCTGGTAATGTCAGGCAAATCAACTCCATGTAAAAGAATACCTCATCCAGCTGGCTAAAGAATGGAGCTTTCATTAAATAAGATGTATGAATACCTGGAACTGAATAGTCAGAAACACAGATTAAGCCAGTGTCACTATAGTACAATGTCTGTTGTTCTGAACTGTGTATATTAAAATGAAATCCCAGCACTGAAGATCTTAAGTAACAGGACATGTGGTTTGGTGCAGTTTGGTTTGGCACTTTGGACCATGATTCTGTATGAGTGGTTTTTCTTGGAAAATTAGACTGCTGTAGAATTCTGTGATTATACCATATATATGGGGTGAGTTGACTGTGAGGTAATTTATATCGCAGGATTGTAGACTTGTCTTATTGTAATTTTGTCAGGTTGCAAAAGCTGCCAGGCATCCTAATAGTGTTTTACTGCTACAGTGAGACAGAGGTAAAACGTAAAGTTTAAAGGTGAAGATAAAGTTTTTATAAAGTACCTTTTACACTGTAAGTTCACGGATGCATGTTGATTCCCTAGTGCTTTGCTTGCAAGGTTAAAACATCTGTGTTAGGTTAAAATATGAAAATGTACTATGTGGATCAAAGTCATCCCTAACCTTAAAGTATGTTGAGTAAATAATTAGAAGTCCAGGATTTGAAGTTTTGTGATCAAAATATAGGACTTTCAGAAACATTTTGCTTAATTTCTTTCATCTTACTTTAAAATGCTAATCGTAAAATGTGGCTTTTCTTCAGGGATTTCTGCATCTTAAGTATGAAATGGAAAAGGCATCCTAGACAGTTGTTGCAGCGTGTATACATGACATCTGGGATGACCTACGTTATATATATTCTTCACT